TTTCAAACACACTAACAGGATTTATCAAACTAATTGTTAGGAATACAAAGAAAATACTTGAAATAGTTTTAGAAACAAAAATGAAAGAGGGTGATTTTGAAAGAATAAGCTTAAATTTTATATAAATAAAAAAGAAAAGTTACTTTTATAACTGTTACAATTATATTTTTAAAAGATATTTATTTTAAAAAAATTAATTTTTTTTAAATATTTAATACTTGAAAATATTTAATCTGCAAATTTTATTAAAAATTAAATTATAAATACTATAATTTTAAAGGATGTTATAATATGTCATTTTTTTAACTTATTTATCAATCATATAATACACTAATTCACATCACCTAAATTATATATTCCGGAAAATCAAAACTCAACTATTATTAATAATAAATATCTTAAAATTACTTATTTGTTATTTTTCACACTTTTATATGTAACAATTTTGTATAATTTTTAAAATATTTAAATAAGATTTTAACTCTTAAAAAATTATTATTATTATTATTTTAACTCTAAATTTTTTTAATCATTTTTATTTATTTTTTAATAATTTATTAATTTTGTTTAGTATTTATTTGCATAATATTCAAATGAATCATATAATTTGATAGATACATAACATAAACGAGACACGTAATTAGTAGCATCATCGTCCACTTTATATATATTTTAAAATTTTAAATGAAATTTTGTATTAAAAGGTTAATAACTTATAATATTTCAACAACAACAAAAATGTTTAGATACAACATAGGTAAATAATAATAATAATAATAATTAATCTTATATATATATATATATATATAATATTTGTAGGAAACTTATTAAATAAAACTAAGTATAAAAATGAAAAAATTGTAAGAAATTTAAAACTTAATTATTTTTTAAAATAATTAGTGACTTGAAACAAGGTATGTTTTTCTGTCACAATCTAGTTTAGCAAAGAGTCAAGAACCATACAGTCATTCAGCTTTACAAAAATTAGTTGTTTGTTAAGGAACCTACTGTTCCAGATCGCAGTGGTTAGGTTTCTCCGTTATATAAAAGAAATAAAGGTTGCAATTATTGCAGAATACGATTAATAGTCTGATAGATATGTTATACTTCACGTCCCATTTTAATAATTGCAACATGCAATATCTGCAACTTTACGAGTAGACATTACCACACATATAAAATTCAAAATATATAAGACATTAGTGATGCCATGTCAAGCAAGCAAAGCTATGTGCAGTGTCTTAATGACACCATCTGATGGTATGCTTATGGTTGGCGTTATTACTGAAAGAATAGGGCCTATCCCATCAATATTCTTCTACCTAAGAATTCTCTTGCTCTGTTCCAAAGATGCAGTTGAGTAGGCCATGGCTTGCGATCAACTCTTGCGATTGTGAGGCTTTAACTGCTTTAGATTCTTCTTTTAATATTCATTCTTTTCACCCATGTTTCTTAAATTAAGTTAATGCTAGTTTCTTAAAAGATATATATAAATATTTAGAAAAAAAAAATTTACACTTTAATGTTTTTCTAGTAATTTAGAAAGAGTAACTTCTGAAAGAATCCTAAAATATTGTAGTTTTTTCAAAAGGAAAAATAAAAAGACTCTCAATTTATATTGTTAGATATATGTAGAGTTTTAAATTAGTGTACTGCATGAAATAATTTAATGACAGAAAGAAGGCACATTGAGTAAAATCAGAAGGAAATAAAAAAAGACATTGAGGATTTGGTTTTAATTTTTAAGACGACCTTGCTATCATCGGAATTTTGTTTCGTCCACTAATGGCTATAGTTGGTCATGCATCTTTTCAAAAATAGAATAATTCACTCAATCCTTTGATAAATTATAATAGTTGTTTTTTAACTTTTTATTCAAATCTATATGTTTACCCAAAGAAGAAGTCATCCCAGTGACTTTACAAACTGTATAATTTAATGATAAAAAAATAATAGTTTAAAATTTACCGTTCTAGCCAGCACACAGTTGTAAAACAGTCGCAGACAGTTTAGACCTATAAATTCTACTGTCCACTGCGAATCCAAGGTAAAAATTTCTTCCTGTATTCAAATAGTGTCGAAATACTTACCCCAAAATGATAATTGTGTTAAAATGTTATGACTTGTGCTTTCTTCTTTCCTCGTATTGGTTCTTATTAATATGAGTTTTGAAAATTTCCACTTTACCAGTTTTTAACTTCCTTTCATACATCGACATGCTCTTATTGTCCATTTAAATTAGTACACTGTTACACAAATCGACAGGCAAAAAAGAGTGAAACTCCAATTACAACAAACCGAACCAAACCATACCAATTTCTGTTGTACCTAATATCAGATATCAGATAAGGCAGAAGATTTATGAGTCTCATTTGTCATCAAAGAACGACAAGGGGTAACAAGAGAACGTGGCATATATATATTGAAGTTGAAAGTCGAAGGTTATAGTACATTAGACTTTGAATTTGTGGGTCCTATTAAAGAATCAGAATTTTAACGTGTTCAACTTTGATTTCATTGTCAATCTCAATTTCATCTAGTCAAGCAACCAATTAATAAATTAAATCAAACTAAGTAGCATGTAACATGCTTGTTCAATGCGACAACTTAATATATCAGACAGGATCCCTTCCACTGTTACATTCATATTGAGGTTGCTATGCTGAAGGAAATATTGTTAGGTAGTGAAACATTTCAGCATCTTGGCTCTGAAATTTTTCGCATGAAAATTGAACAGCATACACATTTTTAATCTAAGACGTGCACTCCGAGAATTAGAACCCCTAAAACTATTCGGTATTATATTCATATGATTTGCATATTTTTGGGTAAATATACATATGCGATCATGACCACAAACATATTGATCCATTTTGGGTGAATCTTACAATTTTGTTATGCAAGGTTTGTTTTAAATCAATTGATTTTTCTATCATATGAACCAGGCACATAGGTCGACAAAAACTAAAAATTAAAACTTTTTAAGATAATAAACGATTTTAAAGTTTTAATTAGATGTAATAAATTTCTTTTTCCTAACGTTTTTTTTTTTACTTCTTAATTATATATGCATATGAATATGATGTACAGAATAAAAAAGTTGTTAATCATATATAAACAACTTAGCAATAACATTATAATAATGAGATTTGGGGATCATGTATTGTATAAAAAAATACAAGAAAAAAATTAATATAGTTAATTACGATTATTGTTATTTTGGGTTTTTCTCTTTTAACATGATTATCATATTACAAGAAGAGATCAAAATCTATCGCAATATAAACATTTGTTTATTTTGTATGAAAGAGACGCCAAACATTTGTTTACAAAGACCAAAAAAGATATTCTGCATTATTGTAAAATGATTATTACGAAATAATTATTATTATGTAGTGTTTATAGTTATTCTTTTGAAGATATTTTTCTACCAAGTTACAATGTTTATATGAAGCGGTTAACTACTCATTATTTTAAGATTCCCAAAAATAAAGTTAATAAATTTGAGATTTTAAAAAAACGTGAAAAACTTTAAAGGAAATTAATCATTTTAAAATTTTAAAAAAATAAAGTCAAGTCACATGTCACATTAAAAAAAAATTAAAGATAAGACTTAAATTTATAATATAATGATAATGATAAATTATTATTTTTTAAAATATAATGACTTTGGAAGGTGTACTTTTCCAGTTTGTCATGGGTAGAATATCATCCAGATGGACAATTAGTACCATGTATCAATGACTTTGATAAATAAATATAGAAAGTATAAAGCTATAATGGACATTTTTACTCATTTTGAAGTTTAGGAACGGTTTGAATATAATTTTTCTTTTTTAAAATATACCGACTTTTTACTTTGTTTTGTATAAAATTATTTTTCATATTTTATTCTTTAGTTTTTTTAATAATTGATTTTAATATTTAGTCACTGTAAAATGAATAATTTTTAAAAATATAAAAACTAATTTTTTAAAAGATCAAAATCAAAATTTGGGCAGAACTACTGTAGACAACAAACATTAAATTGGAGTAATTTCTTATCAATTAATCATTGTGTTCAGTGGTAAAATTTAATATATTTTAAAGAAAAATATGTATTTAAATCTTTGAAAATAATATAAAAAATATAATCAGTATTTTTTATTCAGTAATTGGCAGTTGCAATTGTCTTAAAAACGTCTAAATTATCAGGATATAGTAGTGTTATTTTAATAAAATATTATTTACTTTCAAGTTAAACATAATTTAGTAATATTGAATTTGAGTCGTTTAACCGACAATTGCGTTAAATATTTATTAGAAAAAAGTTTCGTTATTTACCATACTTATGTTTAACTCGACTAAAATTATTTCTTACATAAGATACACATAATTGAAATTAAAAAAACCTAATTATCAAGCAAGAGAAAAAAAAAGATAAATAGCAATAAAAATTGACAAATAAGAACAAAATAATACCAACTTGGCAAATAAAATTGACAATTAGGAAGGAAAGTATTTAATTATTTAATTATTATAATTTTTTGGGTACATTATTGTCATCAATGTTTGATTGAAAAGAAAAAGAGATAAATGACAAAACAAGTATGAATGATAATGATAATCATATTTGAAGAATAATATGAGTGAGGCTCAAAGTTAGAAGATTTATGGGAAGCAATGTGGTCCAAAGCGCAAGAATCGTTGAATAGTGTTTTATGGAGCCATGTAATAAGGAGCGAATATCAAGGGTTTCCCGCGAAAACGCTCGGTTACTCTCACATACTAAATTCTCAGTTGTACGATTCATATCGTAAAAAAAAACTTTCTATCCGTACTTTTCGGGGCAATTCTCTTCCTTGCCGACACTTCCTTCACTTCTTTTTCCTTTCCAAATTTAACATCTTTTTATTAAGAACACACTTTTTGAAAAATATGCAAACGTATATATATATATATATATATATATATATATATATATATATATATATATATATATATATATGTATATTCTACGCCTGAATTCCCTCTCTGTGTTCTTTTATTCCATTCTACTAAAACATGTAAACGCAATTTCTAAGTCCCCTCTAGAAATTTAGTTGCGGTAGGTATGCTGGCTGATGCAATTTGGCGGTAAATTCAGTTAAAATAAACATGCTCTCAAACCGTGGCTGCTTGCAACATTTAGGTACACATTTTCTTGTCTCATCTTTTGTTCAACATTTATTTAATACCATCTTCGTTTTTACGAGGATATTTTATTCAAGGTTTCGTGGCGTTTCTTTCTTTTTCTTTTCACCTATTGTTTCATCCAATGGGTCATGTGATTTTAGCCTCTCTCTCTCTCTCTCTCTCTCTCTCTCTCTCTCGCTCGTCATAAATATACATATTTTAATGAGACATTGTTAATGGGTGGTGCTGCTTTTATATTGAACATTAGAGTTAGGTTCAAGTTCCAACCATGATAGTTACTGTTTTGCAGAGAATGAGATGGTTCACTCAACAACTGGGAGGATTGTCATTCAGCACAGCATACATTTGCAGGAGTTTTTCTCTAAATTCAACAAGTGAGGTGATTGATATATCTAAGGGCAAAACACAATGACAGTTGAGAAAAGGTTTGTTTTGGTGGGGATTAGAATCGATGGCAATAGTAGACAACTACTCGACTGGGCTCTTGTTAAAGTTGCTGAACCTGGGGATTGTGTTATTGCAGTTCATGTTGTTAAAAGTTCAGGTAACCCAAGTTCAAAACGCATACGCATGTTAAAATGTTTTATTTTTTTCCTCCTCCTTGTTGAAAATGTTAATTTGATGCAGATTATGTTTCCAAAAACAAGACCCTGATAGATAGCTATTTAGAGGTTTATGAAGGCCTATGTGGTGTGAAAAAGGTACATAAATATTTCTACCCCTGATGTTGTTTTTTTTTTTATTTTCATTCATGGGGTTGGTAGATGGTAAATGTAACAGATTTTATCAACGTGGCCTAATTGGATTTCAGGTTGGTCTCACCGGTCAAATATTAACAGGAAGCTCCATCAGAAACATTCTTGTTAGAGAAGCAAAAAACCATGCTGCTCTGGCTCTAGTGGTAGGGTATGTGGAGCTTGTATTTGTTGTGGGTTTAGTTTATTTGATGTATGCATTTACGTATTTTACCTTCTATGGTTAGTTTAAAATACTAAAACAAATTTCAATTGCAGGGGTCGCGCTGCCACAGCTAAATATTGCGCCAAACGACTACCACCCACCACCAATGTTCTAGCCATTCAAGACTCGAGAATTGTCTTCAGGAGGTGCACCAATAAACAACTACCAGGTTAATATTTATGTCCTTATTTAACGGAACTAATAAGGATTGTTCACCACATAAAAATTGTATCACTAATTAGTCAATGACTAAAAAAACTAGAATAAGAATTGTTTCCATTTGTGGCAGGTGGTCCTATGCTGGATCCAAGGCCAAGTTTAACAATCATTGAAAACACATGTCACTCAGTGGTGGAGATTGAGAAATCAACAAGGCAAAATAGTTTAGAGTTGAAGGAAGAAGAATTTAACGTATCAGAAAGGTGCAAGTCAAGGTCAATATCTATGTTTGCAGGTGACCCTACTGAGCAGAAACTTGGGTGGCCTCTACTCCGCAGAGCCAATTCAGGAATCTCACATGCAAGGGACATGTCAGTGGTACAATGGGTAATGAGCTTACCAGACCGCTCACCACATAAAAGTCCTCACTTTTTTTCCATTGAGGAAAATCCATCAGAAAGGGGCATCAGTGACTTTGAGGATGAGAGCTCTAAAAATTCTTCACCTACATCTGTTGAAATACCAAAGGGCTTAGAGACGTTAAATGTAAATTCACCCAATTGCAAGTGGTTCAGCCTTGAGGTTCTCAAGTCTTGCACTAGCCAATTCTCTTCAGGTTGGACCAATGGCGCTTATACTGAATTGTTATGAAACAAATATAACCAACCTTGTTTTCCATTGCAGGTAACTTGATTGGGAAAGGAGGGAGCAATCGTGTGTACAAAGGAGTCCTCCCTGATGGAAAGCCAATCGCAGTCAAAGTGTTGCAGTCATCAAAAGGAGCCTGGAAAGATTTTGCTCTTGAGGTGGAAATAATATCCTCATTGAAGCACAATAGCGTTACCCCTTTACTTGGGATTTGCATAGAAGACAATGCTTTAATCTCTGTTTATGATTATTTCCCCAAAGGGAGCTTAGAGGAAAATCTGCATGGTAAAGTTTCATTGGATTTATGCTTTCACGGTTTCACGCATCATTTCAATTGCTGGAAGATGGAAATATATGCTGATATGAATTTATAAATGAATGTAGGGAAGAACATGGACGGATCCATCTTGCCATGGGAAGTGAGATTTAATGTAGCTGTTGGGATCGCTGAGGCCCTTGATTACCTACACGTGGAAGCTTTGAAGCCTGTTATACATAGAGATGTCAAGTCTTCAAACATTCTTCTTTACCATGGGTTTGAACCTCAGGTAATCAAAAGTTTTGAGACTATTAGTATTGAAAAGAACATTTAATAAATTTGATATTGTTATACTTAAATTATGTGTGAACTTCATTATGTCACTTATGATTATCTTTTTTATGTAGTTGTCTGATTTCGGACTTGCAATATGGGGACCAACAACTTCATCCTTTTTGACACAAGAAGATGTAGTAGGAACATTTGGTTATCTTGCTCCTGAATACTTCATGTATGGAAAGGTTAGTGACAAGATAGATGTCTACGCCTTTGGTGTAGTACTTCTTGAACTAATATCAGGAAGGGAACCAATCAGCTCTGAACCATGCAAGGGACAAGAGAGCTTGGTCGTGTGGGTAAGAGCTAAACCCCACTTAGTAGAATGAATTTTGACTTCTGTTAATGATATAAATATATAAACCTCTATTTTATACAATATAGTATATAAATCTATGAACTATGAACAATATTTCATTTTCAGGCAAAACCAATGATAGAGAGTGGGGATATTAAATGCTTATTGGACCCAAATTTAGAACGGAAATTCGATGAGGCCCAATTGCAAAGAATGGTTCTGGCAGCATCTTTGTGCATCACACGGGCTGCTCGGCTCCGTCCTAAACTGAAGCAGGTAATTGCCAAACAATTATTATATTTTTGCATCTAATTTTTTACATTCATTTTTTATCTCTATTTTATTTTTATCTTTTTCTAATCACATCACTTATATTTATATCTCTTGCCTCCACCCATTTCACACCAATATAATGGGTGTCAAAAGAAAGTTTTCCAGTTGAATTTTAAGAACCTCTAGCTCCTAAAGTTGATCACTTTCATCATGTACAGATATTGAAGATCCTAAAAGGAGAAGAGGAAGTTGAATATTTCTTCAACTCCCATGGGAATGATCACGGAGACTCAGAAAATCAAGAGAACATTGATGATGAAGTCTATCCAAATTCAAGTGCTGAGTTACACCTGAGTCTTGCATTACTTGGTGTTGACGATGACATTACATCACATAGTAGCACAGACCACAGTTATAGTGAACACTTGAAAGAACAATGGAGCAGATCATCGAGTTTTAATTAGTTTCTGTCAATTCCAACACATGTTTATCAATAAATTTGCGCGTGTAAAGTTACAATGCAAAAAAGAAAAGAAAAAAAGAAGGAACTGCACCCCTAGATGAGGTGGTTTGTAGATTTAGATAGATAGGCAATTTTTTCTTTTGTATTTATCCCACGAAGAATGAATTAACTTTTGGTAGATGCATCCATCATTGGCTATATTTGAATATGCTACTATTTATTTTGGGTACACCTTATATGTACTCTGACTGAACCCAACTATAATCCATCTAATTAGTATTTATAAAAGTTTAATCAACCATACCTAATGTTTGAAATTTCAACCAATAATGTAGGAGTTATTTATTTTATCTAACCGCTACAAAAGATGAAACGCAGAGTTTGAAAGAAATATTTTTTAATGTTTTCTCATTTTTTATTTTCTTGAATATTTTTCTACTAACATTAAAATGACATGAAAAGGCACATAGAAACTATCAAATAAAAAATCAGTATGTCTAAAATCCGTTTTGAACTTAATTCTCTTTAGAAGTATTTAAAGTTTTTCAGCAATCCATGCCAATAAGAATATTTTTGTTAGGAAGATAATTTCTTATAACCTTCTTCCATACGACACGATTTAGGAAAACTTGATTCCAATAAGTCTTTTTGAGACTAAATCAATCCTCTTTCATCTACTATTGTTACAAAAAGAAAAAAGCAATATCTTTTTTCATATTTAGAAAGAATATTTGGATTCATCACAATTTTTTGGACTCCAGTGTCCATGTAAGCTATAATTTTTACTGAAGTTACAAATTTTGTAGACAAAATCTAAACTTCTACACATGACTTTGATAGAGTTGGAAACCATGCACCTATAATTTTTACTGAAGTTACAAATTTCGTAGACAAAATCTAGACTTATACACATGACTTTGATAGAGTTAGAAAAATACTTTATATTTCTTGAGCAGAATAAAGAGGAATAATATAAACAAAAGTTGATTCACAAATTAAAAGATATAAACAATACTATTCTTTATATTAAAATTATTTTTAATTTTTTTATATACTATCATTATTTTCTTCATTTATTAATAGATGTAAATATTTAATAATTAAGTAAAAATATTTAACTTTAAAAAATAAGAATAAAATTTATTTTAAAAGTAAGTAAATAAAAATTAAATATTTATATATTCTCAACATATTCAATATATTTTCTTTTAATTTAATATTTTATCTATAAATAATCAAAAAGTCATATAAAAAGATATATTATTACTCATCTAAGAACCCTATAAGAGTTATTCCAGTCCACGTTATATGAATAATATTTCCAAAGCAGTGAGAGGGGTATAGTTGTAAATATATACCGACAATGAGAAAAATCTTCAATAGAAGTGAGTGATTAATGAAAATGAAAACCCCTTATCTGAGGAATGACTCATAGGGCGAGTCTTTATGGAATTGTGGCCACCTGTGGACGTTCGTTCAAAGAAACGTAAAAGAGGATTCCTCTCTTCTTCTTTTTTATAAAAATAAGACTAAATTATCATATTAAAAAAATTAATTTTATTATATTTTTTATAAATATAAATTCTATTCTAAAAATATCTATAATATTAAATAATATAATTAATAATTTATATATTTAATAATATTAATAAAAGAAAAATATAAAAAAATTTAATAATTAATATATCTTAATCTTGAATCTATTATTTATTTCTTATAATAAAATAAAAAAAATATTGTATTTTGTTTCTTATAAAAAGAATTAAAAATAATATATAACTCTAGTCAGATACACAACATAAGTGCCATTTTCTTTCAACCACTTATGTATATATTTATTTTAATTTTCACTAAAACAGGATATATTTCAAGTTTTTTATTTTTTATTTTATATCTAAAAAAAAACACTCCCTTTTATAATAACTAAATTTTCAAAGTCTCACACGTCTCTTAACCTTTTTTTAATTTATAATTATTCACACAAGGCTCTTAAACATTGAAATAGAACAGAAATGGTTATCTTAGTTTTCTTTTGAAAGATTAAAGGGCCAAAATAATTTGTAGCAGGTAAGTGGATTGTTATTCTTATATATTTGTTGTTATTTTTAATATAAATTTTATATAATATTTTTAACAGTTTATTAAATTAGTAATAATATTTAAATAAAAATGAAATAAATATTTTAGAAGCATATTAAATATTTAGTTAATTATTTTATATATATAATTTAAAAATTATTTGTATTAAAATATAAAATTTCAAAAATTACTCAATGATTTTTTAAAAAGTATGAAAATTATAAAAATTTTAACTCATCAATGATAATTTAAAAAAAATAAAAAATTTAAAAATTAAGAATCGGTAATAGTAATTTTTTAGAAAGAGTACTAAAAAGATGCCATTGACAATTTTTTAAAATTTTTTATATTTTTGTAATTTTTCCTATAACACAATATTTTGATAATTTTATTATTTTTTTCTCGTATTAAAAAAAAGACCCTAAATATTTTCTGTTTCGCTTAACCTTTTATAAATTTATAATTATTTAAGATGGTGATAATAGATTGAATAATGAAGTCAAGGTGAAGTGGTGAACGTAGGCACTAATTAAGAACTCAGTGTGTTGGCCTAACAAGAATGCAACAATTTTCCCCAAAAAAGAAGTATTTATCAATAAATATGTTGATTATTATTATTACAGTTATAAAGACGGACTTATTTTTATTCGGTAAAAGCTGAAAAGTTCCAATACAGAACAGTTATATATGCACAAATAAACTGTAAAATTACATAACTAATAAATTGCATAAATCGGTAGGTTACACTAATCTATCTATTTTATGCGTAGACATTAGATCAATATATGTATTTAATATAAGCATTATATTGCTATGGAAAACAAAGATCTGAACGTGAAAAGAAAAATCCCGCCACTTAATTTATCTTCACACTGCTCAATATCAAAATAACAATATGCTACTAAGATACTTGGTAGTGGGTGAAAATTCTACATTAAAGTTTAAAACAGTGAAATACTTTATTCGAAAATTATAGCGTTAGTCCAAAACTAGCCGCCGTTGTTGTTAATATTTTAAAAAAAAATGAACGATCTAAATAGGAAAAAGTTACACAAATTCAGAAACAACGGCTTTGATAGGATTGTTTTGTCTTGTGGATATAAATGTTGAGAGTGAGGACTTAACCTGGTCTAATAATTTTGGAACACATGGCATTAATTTGATCTTAGCGAATAATAACAATTTATAAGCTATTTTAATGTAAAAAAAATGATCATCTTAAAAATGAAATCGATTTAATTAATTTATAAACAACGAAGCTAGGTTTATATTAATGGGGTATTATAATAACTGGACCCAGAAAAAAGAGAGATACCGTAAGGGCGAGGCTTGGTCCTACGGGAATTATTTGAACAATTACAGTTCCTCTGTGACGAGAATACGTATAAATTGGAAGCCATTGGAAGCGAAGAGAGAGATACATAGAGAGAGAAAGAGCCAACAAACCAAAAAGAAATCCGTGGAATATCTGAACCTATCACTTCGTCGTCCTGGTACGTTCATTTTCGCTTTTTCTCTGTTTCCTAAATCTTATTATCTCGTTAGGGTTTCCAATTCATCTATATAATTCGATTAAATCGTGATATTATTTCCCGTCAATTGAGTTCTCTCTCTGCTCTAATCTTACCAAGGAATTCCAATCGCTGCACTGTTCAGTATTGCACTTCTTCTGCTTCTTCGCAATTTGAATTGACGCATGCATATTTTTTTTGTTTTCTGATAAGGTCTGATTTGGGGGTTCCCTTCCAATGGATGACGGTGAGCTTGATTTCTCGAACCAGGAAGTGTTTTCGAGTCCGAACATGGCCGAGCTCCCTAGTAGTGGTTCGATGGACAGTTTCTTCGATGAACTTCTCAAGGACACACACGCTTGCACTCACACTCACACGTGCAACCCTCCTGGCCCCGATTTTTCTCACACACACACGTGTTACCATGTCCACACCAAAATTGTCCCTGCCCCTGCCGAAGACCAGGTTGCCACCGATGACACTGCTGAGTCTGCTGAGAAGAAGTCCAAGAAACGGCCCCTTGGTAACAAAGAAGCGGTTCGCAAATACCGCGAGAAGAAGAAAGCCCGTGCTGCTTCTCTGGAGGATGAGGTTGTGAAATTGAGAGCTCTTAACCAGCACTTAATGAAGAAGTTGCAGGGTCAGGCTGCTTTGGAGGCAGAAATTTCTAGGCTCAAATGCTTGTTGGTTGACATAAGGGGAAGGATTGAAGGAGAAATTGGGTCGTTTCCGTATCAGAAATCGCCTAATTCCGACCCTGCAATTCCTAACCTGCCTGGTTCTTATGTGATGAACCCTTGTAACATGCAGTGTGATGATCGCGTCTATTGCCTTCATCCTGGAGCAGATGGAAAGATTGCGGAAGGTGTGTCTCTGAATGGGGAAGGATTGGGTGGTTGTGAGTTTGAGAGCCTCCAGTGTCTAGCAAGCCAGAATTTGGGGCTCAAGGAACTTCGCCAGTGCGGAGTTGGACAGACGGTGTCTAATGTCAATTCTTCTGCGTCAAATAAAAGAAAAGGCAAGACATCAGACCTGATTAAATATACTTCTTAATTCTGGGGCGAAACATTTGATTTGTTGGTTAATTCGAATGTATACTTAGATTCCATTTTAATTTCCGGTGCATTGTTTGATCTGCCAGGCATCTTTGGTCACTTTTTGGGATCCAGTGCTAATTGTCCCTGTATTTAACATTTGTCTCATTATGTAAGTTTAGCTTTGTAAAAGTGCAGTATAGAAAGCATTGAGATTTGAGAGAGAGAGAAAGAGAAAGCATACGGGATGAACTTGCTCTGCAATGTGACCTCTTGCATTTAGTTCTGTTTGGGTTATATGAACTGTTGGAAGTTCTGAATTCAGATGGTCTCACAGAAACACCTTTTCTTTATTTGGCATTATGTTTATTTGCTAAAACTTGTAATTGTTCTTATGTTATAGGGCTGAAATCAGATTGCTAGATTTTCTATAGGATGATTGACTGATTGTTAACATCTCACAGAATGCTTGATCTTAAAGGGTAGTTATAATTATTATTACTAGTATGATAGAGTTATTGTAACTTTGTTAGACAACTAGATGCTATATTTATGAACGCTGCCAGATTATGAAAAGATATTATCCAAGAGGATTTAAGGAACTAGAATTTAAAGATTGAAGTACCAAATGATTGTAGTGAAACATTTTTTCTTAATTGTTCTGAGACTGTATTTTCTTTTCGAATTTGTTATTATATAATTTTTTTATTCCCATTTCCAAAGCAATTAGGATGGAGTTCAGTGTGATGAGTTTAGGGCATGGAAATCGCATATTCTTGCTCCCCGTCCTTTAAAATGATCTAATGGATCTTTATTTTTAGGGGGGTCTCGTGCAGTAACAACTGGTTGAAGAATCAATAAAAAGGTGGTTTTCATCGTTGCTTTGGTAATACCTCCTTCCAATATCTCGTTACCAGTTGCAGCATCAGCTATCCATCAAGTCATTTTTGAATTTTTATTTTTTTTTCTCTTTGACCCTCTGCCGCATTATTGTGGTTCGAATGGCTGTTCTACTATGGAAGATTAGTAGTAGATCAATGTTTTATCAAACAGAAGTAGTAGCTGATCTGTAGCCAGCTTAGCTTATGGCTGAGACAGATATGGTGCTTCTCTATGCAATTAAGTTTCCTGGTCTTCTGATTGTGCATGAACTAGTTAAACTGACATCATAAATGTTTCTCAGCTTATTCAATTTTAAATCTGCTACATATTTGAGTGGTTTTTCGCTTTGTTTAATCCGAGGATTTGTGGTGATTCATGTTTTCTAAATTTGCAAATTTTTTATTGCTGGATTACAGAACTTGGGGAAGATGGGGGTGTGTGTGATCTTTCAGTACTTTGTGCTGTGGACAGGTGAGACACCAATGTCATTTTGTGAAATATAAAATCTTCTATGAGTGAAACAATAAAATTGGCTGTGTATGGTTGCCGGCATTGTTTCTTCTTTTTCATCTTTATTGTGTAAATAATGAGAGGTTTAATTCTGTCTTTTGCATTTTGCTGGACAAGGGTTGAGTAATTTATTTCCGGAAGGAACTGTGTCTCTAACTGAAGATTTTGCATGTGGGCTTTTGTCTTCTACAAGACAGACAAATGACCCGTTTCGTATTTGAGAACGCAAGTAGCTGTTTCGATTACCAATGGAACCTTGCTAGCTTTAGAGTGAGATACGATGGTGGGAAGCCTGTCTGCAAATCTGCACTATAGAACAAATCTTGAATAGATTTCGGTAATTAAAAGGTTCTTGATGATCCTATTTGGGGCATGAACTGATTAATACCATTGTGGACAAAATTTGTAACAATTTGCCTCGCATTTAGTTGCTCGTATAGAGCACAGCGGGACTTTTAGCGAACTGGAGTGAATTGAGCCATTACCAACTTGTTCCCTCTGAAGTTGTAAAACATCACGATTGGGACACCGTATGCATTCTGAATTTATGGGATTCCCTCAGATGGTTTAAGCAGAATGTAGATGTTTCGTGAATTCAGTTACTAAGTTTAGAATAAAAATGAAAAATAATAAAATTTCATTTTATTCGAGTGATATAATGAAAATAATTGTCTATATGAGATGCAATCAAGGATTTCTTTCCATTAGTTGTCTAGGCAGTGTAGTTGGATTATTAAAATTATGTATGTATAAAGCCTCTGCCTGACTAGACTTAAAAGGCTTTTTTGGTTGCAATGATTTAGGAAGAAAAGAAATTAGGAGTAATTTAGCAAACAAAGTGGATTTTTTTAGTTTGGATTTTTGGGAAGGCGGTGGAAAGAATAAAAAAAAGAATGTACTGGACTCTTAAAGTTAAAATCATTTCTCCTATGCCTTGAAAATTATGCATTATTAAAGGGGAGACAGGCGGTGGGAATTTTTTTTTTTTTTTCATTTTAATGTTTTTTTTTTAATATTTTATACAATAGAAAATATTAAAAATAAAATAACTAACAAAGCAATATAGTTCATGATATTGTTTTGTTATTTATTTTTTGGTCACTCAAATTCATGATATTTTCATTCGATCTTAATTTTTTTCAATTCCTAAAAATCGTCATTTTTTCTAACCGCTTTAGTAATTTGTTAACTTGTTTTATTACCTATTTACATAACATCTAAGTTGATTCATATATATTTTGACTGAAACATGACATGAAAAATATGCATTATTATTATATTATATTTCATATTTTTAAATAAAATGTTTTATAAAATTAAGACTTCTGAAATTGAGATTTGAAAATATAAAAGAGGAATGAAAATATAAATGATATATTAGCATCCACACCAACTCCGATGTTATATGATTCAAGTTGAACGTAGGTGCATGTTAGAAAAAAGTAACAAATTAATATATGGACTACGGAAAATATAATTTTTGAAATGTCTGGAAAAAAAATAATATAATTAAGAATCAAACAAAAAATATAAATTTTTAGAAGACAATTTTTATTCGTGCTTTAATTTTTTTTTTCTTTTTTTATGCATCTAAATTAAAAAATTGTACCCAAATGTTTTTCTAAATAGCATTTCTTGTTTTATTTGCTATAAAATAACATTTTTTTTCTTCATTCTATTTCTAATTTATTTCATTTTCCTATTTCCTTTCTATTTCATCCCTCCAAAAATACCCAAAATGCTTTTCTAAAAATTAAAAAACCAGATCATATGTTTATACATAAACATATTTTAAGTAAAAATCTGTGAGTATTTTTTGTTTAATAGACCAGTCTCGTAAATTCCCAGTAGGTTGCTTCATCCATTCTCCCTACTAGCTAATTGAAAATTCCAACTTAACGACATAGTATGATTAAAACGTGTCGTCAGATATTGAACTTACCAAGAGGGTTGTCAAAACAATTCATTTTCCCGAGGTACTACAGAAATACGTAAATAAATATACAGACACTATTATCTTTTTGTCCCCAGAACTCCATCGTACTAGGTCGTAACAAGAACATTGTCGATTGTGTATAGAAAAGGAAAAACACTCATTGCAAGCATGCAGCCACGCGCACATAGTTGGATTATCTCATAGGAATCACTATGTAGTTTTATACAAACTCAATAGATCTATTCTGCACATAAAAGTGAATTCATGTCTGACAACGATACTACGATGTATCACTGTTCCAGCCGTTACGTGGTCGCAACAAGAAAATTGCACAAAACAAAAAACATGGTAGTGAAAATCAAAGTACCAGAGTTTCTAACAGCAAAGCAATGGTAGTAAGAGCTTCGCCTTTGAGCCTGTGTCCCGTTAATGTTAGTCATCGGCCATCCACGTGTCATCATCATCATCATTGTAAATGCTCTCGGCCATTTGCCAGACATGGAAAGAATTGTCCTCAGCTACACTTGAGATAACCCATGGCTGATTTTTGTTCCACGAAAAATCTGATATTTTCCCTTTGTGACCCCCGTGAGAAAAGAGTAGTTCGGGTGGGCCACCGTCTTCATCTCCCTCTATCTGCTCATCCCCGACCCTGTGTCATCATGAAAATACAGCGTGCAAAATGTTAACGGGCATATTTCAACTCTTTCTGTGCACAAGCGTGTTTATATAGGGCGTGTATGCACACGTGCACCTAAATAATTAAAATGGATCTTACAGAAGTAGAATCAGCATATCGTAACAAATGTCTAAAACAAGAATGAAAAGAAGCATTATGGAGGAGTCTGTTTTTACATGTTAAGGTCCCAAACCATCAGCCTTCTGTCAGCGCCAGACGATGCCAACACGGTCTCATGATTAGGATCCCACTCTACCTGGAATACCTCATCTCTGAAAAACAAATAAAATCCGAGTAAAAAATATTGGAATTTCCTTAGCTAAGGACTAATCAGATATCACATGAAATAGTATTGACAAAAATAATTACTCAACGTATCGACCAAGCCATTCTAACAAGAAGATGGTAGTAGTATTAGTATTATGGAAAACAAATATGATTGATGGATAAATGACATACGTGTGGCTACTTAAAACATGTAGCGGCACTGTAAGGTTCCGTATATCAAAGAGACCAATGGTGGTGTCTGAAGATGCGGTAGCCAAAATAGATTCATTGTATGGATTGAAAGAAAGAAAGTTCACCTGATTAAAAAAAAAAATAGAAAGAAAGCAGAGAAAATATAAGTATATAACATTGTCAATATCAAATGCCATTCCACCAAAGGGTGAGACAAATCAGATGTGGAACAATTACAGACATTGAGAGTGTATTTCAGTTTAACACAAGATTTGAAACCCTTTCCCATTTCAGGAACCCTTCGTATTTAACAAGCTTTGGAAAACGTTGATATCAAAGCTGTACAATCCTAACGATACACACAGATACAGTAACATAACTTTTACATGCACTGAGGAACATAATGATTAGGCCAGTGATACTTCAACCACTTCAGATGAAGAGTTATGCGACATCTATTTTGCATGCATGATGAACTAAAGACGCTCCAAGGATTATAAAGCATCAGCATTACCTCCCTCTCATGTGGTTTGACAGATTGTTGGGGTCTGTTTGTTCGCAAGTCCCAAATTATCAATTTGCAATCATCACCGACGGACCCAAATAAATTCTCATCCTTCAAATGCCAGGACACATCTTCAACCACACTTTCATGGGCCTAGCACAACAATCAAAAGTTCAATTCCATTATCAAAGTGTCAGGCAAATCTTGAAAAATATAAATTAAACATTCCAAGAATAAACAAAAGTAGCACTGATTCTCATCATTACCTCATAAACGTGAATTGCATCAAGCACATTCTCTTGATATGCAGCAGGCACATCCCACAAGCAAACCTTATGGTCATGGGAACCACTTAAAAGATGCCCTTTCTTGAAAGGGCTCCAAGACAAACCATAACCCTCTTTATCATGACCCCTCAACCTCAAATTAGGACCAGACTCATTCTTGCATTGCTTGGCGAAATCGAACACATAAACCTCAGAATTACAAGTTTTCGCGGCAACAATACTAGCGTCTTGTGGCATACAACGCGCTCGATTCACCTCCCCATCAACAGGAACCTTTTGGGTAATCTCTATCTACAAAAATCAACAACCACCAACATTAAGGAATTTCATCAAATAGTTGGTAATCAGAAAGAAAAGGAGCAAAAAGAAGAAAAACCTTGGGAATAACAGGATAGTTAAGATCGGAGGCAATGATGGGTTGTGCGGCGTCCACGGGGAGGGTCGCATCTGCGAGCATGAGGAAGTTGGGTTCACCTTGGGAAGTGTGAGTAGCGAGAACGAGTTTTTGGATATTGAAGGAAGGGTGAGAGTGAGGTTGAGGAGAAGAGGGAAGCCAGTGAACAGTAAGAGAAGGCCATGGAAGAGGGTGAGAAATGAAGAGATCGTACAACAGAGGAGTGTTTTTCTTCCAAACTGAAAACTCTTCTTCAACCTCTGCATCATCGTATTCTTCCTCCATTTTTTCTGCTATGAAACTTCAAACCCTCGCGCCAATGCCACACTGAAGGAGGGAAACCCGCTTTAAATAATGGACCAGTCACTTGCACTGGGCTGGGCTGGGCTTACGACAAGCCCATTACTAGCTCCGTCCATCCATTTTTTAAGGGATAGGGGGTATATTAGTTCTTCTCTCTTTTTTAAGATTATATACTATTGTCACTTTTAGTTTTATAAATATGTTTTTATTTTTTTGATTAAATATATTTCACATTTTAATTCTTTTTAATATAGATCAACTTCTTAGATTCTTTTTTAATTTCAAATTTAAAATTTTAGAAGATAAAATTGATTTTTTGAATGAATTATCAAACCTGATAATAAGAACGTGCACATTTTTTTTTTCATATTTAAAGTCTTCAAATCAATAATGAAATATTGAAATAAAGCATTAGTAACAATAAGCATCAAATATGAAAATAAAATATATTTTACAATATTCTGTTTTTAGAGATAACAGAATATAAAAATGTAATTTAACCATTGTTACGGTTGACAGATAGCTTAATAAATTGACAGATAGTATGTTAACTATGGTTTATTTCTTAATCATATGTGTAGAAAAGATTTCGTCAATAAAACCAAAACTTCGTTCCAATGTTCTTATGTCTAAAGGAGATTAAGCTTTAAATTTTAATTAGGAATATATCTGTGAAAAAAAATAAAGATTACCAGATTTTACTATTTGGTTCTGATATGAAATGTAACTTTAATGATAATTCACACCTTATCCTTTTGCTTACGCGTCTGGGTTCAACAACTTTATTTTCTTGCTGTTTTCACACTTGATTGTGACATTAATTCACCTTTCAACGACATTCAATGGAGGGTTGCGTTGAAAAATGGTAATCGCATATTCCAATTCATAAAAAGCTAATCACTAGGATTTTTGAGGCACGTTAAAAATTACTCGTTTCTCTATTTTTTTATAACAAATAAAAGAATAAATTATCAGAATAATTAATTTTATTATATTTTTTATAAATATAAATTTTATTTTAAAAATATTTATAATGTTAAATAGTATAATATTAATAAAAAAGAGTATAAAAAAATTAATAATTAATATATTTTGTCATTTATTTCTTATAATAAAAACTAAAAAAATACTATATTTTATTTCTTATAAAAAAATCAGAAAAAATATTTATAACCGACATTAACTAAGTCTTTAGTTTATCAATCATGATGGCCAAATCATTCATTTGTATTTAAATTAAAGGGAAATGTCTAAGTACAACGAAAAAATATTATGTATTAATCCCTCTATATTCTATTCAAATATAGTTATTATGTAACTACCGATTTAAAATCACTAAATCTATCGTAAAAATGAAAATAATAATTTAATTATGAATTGTATTTAAAAAAATTATTAAAATTGATTAAAATATTTTATATAATTTATAAATTTAAATTATAGTTAACTTATAGTTATTACTTTTAAATTACTTTTCAATGTTTATTTATATAATTACAAAATTAATACCATTATCAATTGATTCAATAAACATCTTGACAATTAAATTATAATCTAGATGAAAAAAAACTTTTGCTATATTGATTTTTAAATTTTTTATTTATCATTAAATATGTTTTCATTTTTATCTATGTAATTCATTTTTACAAAAACTTTTAAAAATTAATAATTTGTTTTATTATCTTATTTTATTTATGTATTTTGTAATCATATCATCTTATTTTATTGTTATTAAGAAGAATAAAAAAGATATAAAATATATATAAAAATATATTTTATGATCATCTTCAATGTAATTATATTTAATATTATTTAATATAATTAAAAATTATTATAATTATTTTTTATATTTAAATTATAATTTATTTATTATTAAATAAAATAATTTAATAAAAATATAAACAAAATCATACATCATATCGGTATATTTATTAGTGATATAGTATTATATTAACTTTTATTAATGTAAAAACTAAACTATTAATAAAAATTATGATTTTTTTCACTAATCTTTTAATAAAATCATAGTATTTTTCTATTAAAAGTTTTTTTTTTTTTTTTTTTTGCTAAGCATCAATATTTTATTAAGGATAAATTTAGAATATAAGGAGTACTCTAACCCGTTACAACACTAAAAAAAAATTAACAATATATGTTAAGAGATCATTAATCCAATTCATAATCGATTTTTTTCCAAAGGTCTTGCTAACTGAATTTTTCCAAAGGTCTTGCTGCAAGCAACTTCCAAGATACATATTCCAAGCATTTGGCTTAAGCTTTGATCCCTTCTTCCTCTTGGCTTTGCGAAGTGCACTCCTAACATTCCTAACATTAATTCTTTGTTTCGCTACTACCTCAACAAGGAGAATTTAGTCCTTAACTCAATACATGATTAGCTTCGTTTGACCCATGAGAATGCTCAGTAATCACGCCATCAGATCCGCCAATAAACTCTTTTTGTATAACACTTTAATTTAATTTTTCAAAAATAAACAAATTTTGCAAAATTAAAAATAATAAAAATTTTCATTTAAACAGTTCCAAATACACAGTTCAATAAAGTATTTCAAAACAAGGATGGATTATAATTTATATCAAGTTATTGCTATAAAACTAGTTTAATTACATCAGAGTTTTCAAGGAAAATAAAAAATAAATGTAAGGGTGAGTACTCTATACTATCACACACAAGCACAATATAACACCTTAAATTTAATTTTAAATAACAAGTTTCACAAAATAGGAGAAATAAAATTTCATTCAAAATAGTTTTTTCCATGCATAATTCATTCAAATATTTCGAAATAAGGATGAATTACAAGTTGCATCAAACCATTGCTACAAGACTAATTCAATTATATCAGAATTCAAATAAATTTCTAGCCCTATAGCAGTTTCATTTATCCCTTAACTGGATCAAGTTTTGATCAATCAATTTGCATAATTTCTAACATATTCTAAACAAGCATAATCAATCACAAACAATATTTTTCACTCATTCTATTTCAGGTCACAACCAATGCACTCACTGCACCAACAACGTTTAACACACATACATGCACTCAATGCACGTAGCCACGCTCACTGTAACACTATGATCACAGTTTCACACTATGGATGGTTGCCGATTACACCTGCATCACAGATACCACGTGTGCGGCCACGAGTAGCTCGGTAAAGGTGTTACTCAGAGGTCTAGTCATGAGGAGAATGTGTGACCTGTGGTGCACCCATGCTCACTGTTGGTGTCACCACCACTTTCTTTTTCCTAAGGTATTTCTATCGTCCTCATCTTCCACACCTCCAGTGTATCGTTGAACCATTCACAGCATATTCACAACCGTATATAACATGTCTCATTCACACACATTTCAATTGCATACAATACTCATATTTGCACACGGTACTCAAGCCCATATCACACTTAAACATTGAATCCTCATTAATTAACGGCATGTCACAACACACAATCACCCTCAACGAGCTCAACCATCTTATCACACATCACATTGCATGAATACACACAATAATTTCCATCAACACACATTTCTTACCCTCTATCGCAGTCACATTGCAATATTTAGCAAAATAAATAGAAATCAAAACACAATAAGATAGGATAGAGTCTCCCCTTTACCTTAAATTGAAGATCCACACACGAATTCAACCAAGGAGATGCTTCCCACACAAATTTTATCCTAAATATATGGGAGAATCCCATGAGAACTAAGGAAAAACTGAGAAAACAGCGAATGGGGATGAGAAACTAAAATCCTAACCATTGAAACTTACCTCCAAATACTACAAACTTATTTTCAACCTTCAATCTTATTCTCAAACGGTTTTGGAGGCAATTTAATTTGTGAAATATAGTTTGAGATAAGAGAATCGCGAAAGAAGGGAAGGAAAATGTAAAATAACCCATTCCCTCCCTTTAAATCCCCTTCGGATCGCAACACTCTCGCTACAGCGAGATATTAAGACCTTCTTACAGCAACATCCTCTTTCGCTACAGCGAAAATCTCAGAGGAAACTGCACTCTAGTTTCTGCAAAATCTTGCAACAGTGAAACTCTTTCATTACAACGAGACTACACCTATAAATGCACCCTCTGTTGTCGCCCTCTCGCTACAGCGAGAATGCAATAGGTTCACCCCTCTCTCCCAGTGCCTTCTCGCTATAGCAAGAACACCTTGCAGCACCCACACTTAGCCTGCACACACACACACACACACACACACACACATATATATATATATATATATATATATATATATATATATATATATAACCAGTCCAACACACCCAATCTCAATGTATAATCAACATCCACATTTATTATATATACACATATTCATCTACATCAAACTTATCACATAACCAAGTACACATTCCACATCCATTCATATACATTTACACACACACACACACACATATATATATATAGTAATAATCAATATTACAAAATTTGGGGCGTTACACACAGAGACTCACCTTACACACTGTACACTTTTATGATATTATTCAAATCACATATCAAACAAATGTAAAATAATACATATTCAACATCAACCAATTCACAAACAGGTGCGTTCACTGCACCCTCAATTACTTCATCCAACAAGTGTGTTCACTGCACGTTAGCCACGCTTGTTGTGACATTGTAATCACAAATTCCTGTTATCCTCAACCTTAGGGACTTACTTAGTTTCAGACCATGGATAGTTGTCGCATAGCTCCCACTCCACGGATACAACGTGTGCAGTATTGAGCTCTCAAGTAAAGGTGTTAGTCAGGGGTCGAGTCAAAAAGAGAGTGTGTGGCCTGTGGTGCATTCATGCTTATTATTTGTGTCACTACCATCCTCTCTTCCCTAAGGTATTTGTACCACCTCTATCTTTCACACTTCTTTATATCGCTGAACCATTCATAGTTTTCAACATATTCACACACAACCAACATGTCATTCACACACATTTCTAACCATCCAAATTATTCAATATCAATTAATGGCATATTTAGGCATTTCACCCATATTCTCAATCACATCATTACATTCAATTTCACACATAGCATGTATGCCCACAATCAATCATATTACTCTTAAACATCAACACTCCATCAAAATTGATTTCTAAATAACACACATTATGCTCAATATCCATCACACTATAATCCACGCAATCTTTTCACCGCAATCTCACTACAATCAAGTCACTTTCATTAAAACACTCATATTTTAATATTCCAATCATTCCCATTCACAAAAATAATCATACAAACAAATTCTAAGCATAAGAGATAGGGTAGAGTCACCTCTTACCTCAAAGTGAACACCCACAATGCAAATCAACCTCCTTTTCAAACGCATCTTCACCCAATCGCACAACATCTACATTATAATTTGAATCCTCTCTCATTCGCACATCTGCTACGTTCTCCATTGAATTTGATTTCGTACTTTCAAACTCCTCTTTATATTGTGGAATGTCTGACAAATAATCACATAAATTTTGTCCTCAATAATCCACCCTTTTTTTTTCCCTCCTCCGTACTCTCTATACTATCTTTGATCATTTTTTTTTGCTACCCTTCCTACTGTTATATCACAACCCTTCTCACCATCATCTAAACTTTCATCCTTCAAAGCGTCCAAATCTAATGAAGCATCATCATAGCTCTCTGACAATGAAGTATTTAAATCATGATACCACCACCCTCCTTGAAAGAATTCTCCCTCATGTTCCTCGACCATCACGAGATCATTACTGTGAATCCTTAAATCTTCATTAATCAACGCATGTGTTTTGAGTCTGTAGGTGAACTCTTGCAAAATTCATATATCTTCGAGATGTTGTATCATCGTCCATACACTGAAAATCTCTCAATAGTGACACCATACTATCTTCCCAAAGAATGTCTCTAACTAAGCATGATATGGTATGTCGTACAAACAAACCCACGTTCCCCTATTAACAGCCACTATACGCGGATGCCACCAATCAAAGGTATAAAATAGCTTAGACAAGTTATCTCTATACTTAACTATAACCTCCTTTAGATCCTCCGTTTCCAAGAACTATATCGTCACCCATTGTAATGGCCTTGACATTCAGCATAGATTCCATAAAAGAAAGTTAGCCACATTATTGAGCTGTTTTGACCGGTGTAACCTTTCCAACGCCACCTTGCAATACCTCTCAACCGTATCTTGATCAACATGGAACTCATTATGACAACAATGTTTTTTCTTAGATACCTGCATCAAATTCTTGTTTTTCCCTCCAACAACACCCTTCCCCTTCATTATATCTGCATATCTTCGCCCACCAACACTACCTCTCCCTTCCACCTTGATCCCAATGGCATGGGGTCATACACGTGTCAAAAATAAACCTAATTACTATAGCACGAGGCAAGCAACCAGGATCGTTTCCCAAAAGATCACAGAGACGAATTAATCTATTTGGAGAGTATGTAGGATGGGGGTGATATAGAATCAATAAAACAGAGTCAAAGTTGAGAGGATTGATTAAATCAATTGGAAAAACACCTAATTCAAGAATCAATAAGGAATAAGCAAACATTCAATCACGGAATCCCAAAATACATATTATTCAAATTCGGTGGTTAAAGACTAGATTCAACCAAGACCTCAAATTAAATCAAGTGATCACACAAAAAACTTCATGCGTTTGATTAACAAAAATTCAATTAATACTTAGAAACCTCTAAAAATCTAATCGAACGTGTTAACTTTCTGAACCACTTAATTAACCTTAATTTCTGAAAATCAATTCATGCACTTCAATCGAAACAAAACAATGAATTGAATTGCCTCTCAAAAATAAATTGAACGAAAACCTTCAGTTCATGATATTAATAAGAATAGAGAGAAACAAGAAACCAAGAAACTCGAATTCAAATATAAAATCTACAAACCGATTCTCATGAATGTTGCATTTCGTTGATCCTTGAACTAGATAAACGAAACTACTCCTCCATGGATGGAAGCTCACGAAAAGAAAATCTCTCTAAAAAAATGATTCCCTAAAAAAAACCTTTTTAAAAAGAAAACTCCCTATCTTTTATTCAAATTTGACTTTTCAAATCTCCAACAACAAACTGTAACTTCCTCCTTCAAATTCGCCCAGGAAGTGCATCTGTTATGATTTTTTTATTGATTTTCTATTCAATCCACGGATGTTAGCTTTCAAATGCCACTGGAATGAGTCGAATCGGACATCTATGGGCCGAGATATGACCCAAACACTGCACTAAGGTCCAGAATCCTCGAATTGTGTCTTCTAGCCCAGTTTTGGTCTAATTCTGTTTTTGGATGCTACAATTTAGCCTTTAAATCTCCATGAGTGTTGTAGGCCCATATCTTAGCTTTCAAATGCAATTGGAATCACTCAAATCCAATAACTATAGCCCGAGATATTACCTACACAATAAGCAAAGGTCAAAAGACTCTAAAATCTGAAAATTAACAAAATTTAACAATTAAGCCCAATAATATAAAACTCAGCCAAAACAATACAATTAAGCACAATTCACAACTAATTAGGCCTATTACAAAGCTATCACAAGTGTATAAAAATTCAGTCTCTTTTTTATATCCTTGACCTTCGCAAATAGCACAAACCCAAATTTGCGTCCATCATTGCCCCATTTTTTCGAAATAAATAAATTCTCAACCTTCTTATACCTCTGAAATATTTTCCACAATGCTAAAACTTCATGATTCTCCAAAAAAAATTTTAAAGAAAAATGTTGGTAACGTTTATACACAATTAACATAACTGTTAAATTTTACTTGAGATTTTCTCCGTTGAGACTTCACAAGCGTCCACCTATTGTGAACCTCCACCCCCTTCTTACACTCTCTCACTCTCATTTGTAGATTCACCCTATTCTAATACTCCTACACCCAAACATCTCTGAAAGAGAATTTCAAACTCTAAAAATTTCTTCTGTAGAGACTGTTTAATTTATGACTTTGAATTTGAGATTTTTTTTAAAAAAAAGCTAAACTAATAATTCAAAGTTAAACTATTATTCTACTATTTTTTTTATAAGTCACCTTTAACTAAAATATATAAATCAATAAAAATAACTAAAGTTTGTTAAATTGTTTTATTTTTTTAGTAATATAATAAATATCAATTTTTTCTTATCAATATTTATTTTTCTTAGTTTAAATTTAATTTCTCACCAATTTTATTTATTAAATAAAACTATATATATATATATATATATATTTAATACTTCTTAAAAATTATAAAGTGTCTTATAAAAAAGATGAGAGAAAATAATTTTTTAATAAGAATACTTTATTAGAATATAAATTTTTTATTTATATAGTTAATATTTCAAATAATAATATAATATATATGGTATCAGTAATGTAGATTTTCAAAATTTATATTTAAAAATTTAGATCAAAACTATATTAAGCCACTATATTATTCTTTGAGTTTTAAGATTAAGGTTCAGATAACTCTTTTGAGTTTTAAATCAAGTTATATATCCTAAATGTTATAAAAATAAAATAATTTTTTTTTGAATAATTAAAATATACAAGTTAATATCAATTTATATAAAATTATTTTATTTTCATAAATATTTATTGTAAGTTTATCCAAACTAAATTTATGCATAATATGTATAGTTCAAGCTATTTATAAATAATATGTGCTATTTAATACTATGCTATATTTGCCCAATTTCTCATAACTGTAGTAGTTGTTTTTCTTGCCCATATTTATTTTTTTAAAATTCTGACATTAATTCTCTTGGACATCACTCACATTTTTCAGATATATTTTGGACAGTTAGAATCTTCCCAAATTCAAACACATTTGAAAATCCCACAAGAGGTAAGGAAAATGAGAGGCTACCTCAATAGTGTTATTCCAAACAAATTTGTAGATGGAATGAACAGTAATAACATACGTATAACAAAATCAAATGGGGGAATCTTTCAGGATGAATATACCAATTATGCTAAAAGTGGACATGTTAGAACCATGTCAAGCACAGGTTACAGTGTAGTATTTTATTTTACTCTTCTCGTTGTTGCTCATTAGAGTGGGGCGAGGGTCCTTTGACAAGGGAATAAAAGCAAAGCAAACAAAGCAGGAAACGATTGCTATTCTGGTTGTAATGGTTTCAGGACTACTGGTGACCATAGGCATTATATAATATATACTTTGAATCTATTTTGAAAAATCAAAGTTATATACCCTAACTTAATTTTCAGAAAAAAATGTTAAAAATTTTCATATTTAATATATTTTTTAAAATTCATAATTATAATTTATTAAAAGAGATCATCTTTGGTTCAGACACTTTATACACACACACATAAACCAACCCATGCTACCAATCATATAATGAATTAGGTTAACTTGTTTTTCTATACACTACCAATCATTTGAATCATGAGTTTGTATGATAAATTAGAACTCTGCACTGCCTATTATTGTTCGTCTGAACTTATTCATAGTTTTCAACTGATTATTCACTATACTAAGACATTTTTCATTTAGTTATTGATAACAGAGATGACTAATTTTCAATTACGATTTGTATATGCTTGCATTTATCCTTCAATTAAAGCACAACAATATCATCCTCACAAATCAAGATATTTTCCTGCAAGTTCTTTTTCTTCCTATATTTTTACTCAATATATGCTTTATTATAAAATCTATTACGAGACTTCTGTTAAACAACAGAGAAACACGAACACATTACAGGAGCAAAAGAAACCATCAGTTCACGATGACTCATCACATGCAGTACGATCTTTTCACACTAAATAAAACAATTCAAATGGCTCAATTTAGCAAAGTGTTTCAGTATCTACACGCTGTAACTAGTCAGAAACAATCCAAGAAAAGGAAAAAAAAAAAAACAAAAACTGAGCACCCTTCTTCAAATCAGAATAGTAGTAATTTACAATCAAGATTAACAAATTTTCCAACATCACTTTAATAGCGTTCCCCTGAACACCTTACCTATTATACTTTTTTCTTTTTCTTTAATCTGCTACAAGAAAAAAGGAAACCAAAAAGAGAGAGAGAGAGAGAGAGAGAAATTAAGACAGGACAATTAAAATCACATGACGGCACATGCGGCGGGGTTTTCGTCGCTGAAAGCGGTGGTGTACTTGACCTCGGTGGAGCTGGCACGTGCGAGGTTGGACACCTGAGGGTCCCAATCGGCGTTTCGAACATAACCAGTAGGTGCTTTCTTGTCATACACACCGGGCGCGTAAGGGTGAGCAACGACGTCGTATGGCACGTAAGGCCACAACTCTGCCCTCTTGCCGGTGCGGTGAGCGATGCGAGCCACCACCTTGGAGGGTTCAACGTAGCCTGAAACAGTGACCTTGCTGGCCTTTCGATCCACCTCCAGTTGCGTCACCCCTTTCATCCCCTCCACCGATTTCTTCACCTTCCTCTCACACCCTTCGCAGTCCATCTTCACTTTCACCTCCACCGTCTGATCCATACACAATTCATCATATTATTCTTATAATCCTGGACTATGGTGTGTGTGTGTATATATATATATATAGTGCAAATATCCATTCATGTACCTGAAATTGCTTGCGCTTCTTCTTTAGCTTGGAGCTGGTGTAGGAGCAATCAAAGAGCTCTGAGATGTGATCTAGAGCGCCCATTTTGATTCCTGTGTATGCTGTTGATTGTTGTAGCTGAGTTACTACCTACTTGACCATATAACATTCATTATTTATAGCCAAGACCAACACTAAATATCTCACACAGTACCCATCTCATCTAATTCTCACACGTTCATACGGTATGGTTGACAAATAGTAAACATCCAAAATAGTAAACAAATAACCGTCGGTTGTTTTTGTCGTGATTAGATGTCTTTGTGCCACGTGTCTTGTGCCTAATTGGACAGAGACAGTATGTGGATCGAGAAAATATGGGAAGCAAGTAAATAGGATGGAGTGGTAGTGGCAGATTTTAACGTGGATGGATGAGGAAGGAAGGCATGGGTAACAAGTAATGACCGTATCGGATATCCGTTTTCTCTGTTTCAAGTAAGACTAGTCACGTCTAAGAATTTACTAAAGATACCCTGTTTTAATCAGGGGGAACTTCCTACACATTTCCTTTTTCAAACTTCTACAAAGTGAATGGTCGACTACAATCTTCAATTGATTCAATGCTAGTTTATGTATATTATATGATTAATGAATTGATCCAAATAGTTTCGAAGCCAAATAAAAATGTTTTTTTTTTAATATTTTTAAGACGATTTAATATTTTTTAATACAAGGAAACAAATTCCTCCCCCGACACCCCCCTACTTGCTTTGTTATTTCCTATGTATGCCACACTGCAGTCGGTCATTGTCACCGTATGCTTTGATATATTTTATGCACACTTAACTTCGGTAAACTTAAAAGGTCCATGTGCTTAACAATATTTTTAATCTTTGTTCATCACTACTAACCTTAACCTTTCTTAAATGACAATTGCTATATAGAAATTTCTCAACGGGAGTGTAATTAGACACAGGAAGCGTATGTACTTAGATTCGCTGAGACCACAAGAGCGTTTAACGACAAAACAATTGACGGAATTGTTTGCTCAATCTGTATATTATATAGCTGTTAATTACATTTCAAAATTTTAATTCATGGTCCATCTTTCAAAAAAAAAAAAAAAAAAAAAAAAAACCTGAGTTGACTCGAACTTGCGAGATTAAATAAAACTTGATTACATTTCTGTTTGGTTTTTCTTAGCTGAAGTCTATTGTGTGATTATGTCTCTAAAGCAAATGCGATAAGGTTGAGAGTGTTGTTTATCAAGTAATCATATCAAGTTTTTTTTATCGATGCCATGATGGGCGACACCTGTGGTGAGTGAGGCTTAATGTAGACATACGCGTTTACACATTATCCCTTCAGCTGTCATCATTAGTGACAAGTGACAACGTCTGTTCATACTTTATGGAGTCGTCGTAAACTTGTAATCTTTGCAACTGAATGGGAGTTCTTTTTCTTTTTCTTAATAAAGCTATAATGGTGAGTGTGCAAATTATGGGTCAAAATTGGCCTATTATAAAAGTAAATTTTAAAAATGAGATTTTGTTGGCAACAATTATGATAACATTTGTGTTATTTAAACTGCTAAAAATTAATACTATATGTAGTATTATGTATATTTTCTTAATCTTTTTTATATACACACACATTCCAAAAGTATATCCTAAATACAAAACGAGAAAACCTTAAATTGTTCCTAATTAGCAATACAAAGAACATTTCCTTATTTCAAATGTCATTTCAACTTTTTCCCGTTCAATTTGGAGTTTTATCTCACAAGGCCCACTTTGATATTAGTATGTCGGAAGGGCAGTTGTGGGGGTACAAGACGATATTTCATTAATTATTCTTTTTTGCTTTACAAGCCCATGTTAGTGCCTTGATGGGTATTAGTCTCAACTACTCAAGCCCATTGTCCAATGCAAAGGGGCTGCCACTTCTTTTCAAAATCGAATTTGGACATACTAAATGGATGTTGGGTGTTGACTGAACAAAAAAAAGAAACAAAACAAAACAAAACAAAAGATGTGAATTTATGAATCAAGGAGGTGCTTATTACACAGCATTAAGCAACGGGTGCTTATATACGCTAACAACTTTATGAGAAAAATGGGATCTATGCGGTACCATATTAGAAAATTTTAATTTAAAATAAAAAATATTTAAAAATTTTAAAGATGTAGAATAACTTATGGACTTTAAAATGTAAACAAATTAACGAGTATCTATCCTCATGGGAGATGCTCTAACATGAAAATTTGGCTTGAAAAGTGTTGATATATATATGGGACACAGTAACTATATAGTTAGATTAAAAATGAATTTAATTTGTTAAAGAAAGTGCTAACTAGTTAAGATTTTAATTAAGAAATTATAAGTATATAACGACATCTTTATAAGGTTGCTTATCTTGATCAGTGGAAAAAGTTTGCATACGCGAAGGTACCGTTTCTTGTAAAAGGAAGGGTTTCAAGCAGAAAAGACGGAACCAACTTGTATGTTTTATTATTTCTACATGTGAGGAACAATATTTGGGTTGCTGCCAGTGGGGGCATTTGTAGTTATTGGGTTAAAGCTGGTCTTAGAGTCGCTTATTTAGTGATGAATTTATTTATTCTTTAAAATATACCTTAAATTTATAAGAATTTGTCTAAAATATATTTTATGAGTTAAATAACCTCATTTTAGATAAATTAATTAGATTTTATCTATAAAAAATTAAATAAAAATTTGATAAAATTTTTAAATTCATTAGTTTATTTAATTAGGATGAAGTTATTTGTCATAGAGATAACCTAGACAACGCCAAAATTTAAATTTATTTATTTTTTAATTCAATCGATATATTCTCAGTTCAATTCAGGCTACATATGACAAGGCAATGAGTACTAATTTGGTGCAACAAATATATCAGCCGCTTTAAGGTTTAGGTAGCTAGATTGGAAGTTAATATTAATTAGAAATTGGAGAAGTTGGTAAAGGTCATTGGCATACTTGCTTGGTCAAGGTGGGTACGTTCCTATGTCCCCTTGCTCCATGACTTAAGGGACAATTATTAATGATAAGCTTATTTTGATATTTGGACTTCCCAACTCATCCAATTAAGTTAGCTGCCAAGTCCTTTTTCTGTTTTTGAATCTGAAGAAAAAAAGAGAAAGCCAAAGTTGCCTTAGTCTCAACTTTCGGGGAAACAAGATGTCAAAGAGAGACAATAGATTAAACAAAGACGTGAACTCTGCAGATTTTCTTTAAAGAAAGCTATTTATGACAAGAAAGGTAAAGATGAAATTAGAGGATATAGTAACTATTGGTTCAAAGACTGGATCATTCATATCCTCTTCCAGCTTTCTGCATATGCTTTACTGACTAATTCACTGATAAAAACAACAAAAGGGGCGTGCAATGCAATTGGGTGTAGTCAAAATTGCACGAGAACCTCTCAAAAGCTCAACTCCTTGCTCTTTCTTTCACTGTTATGGGGCATAGAAAAGCGACCTCATAGAAGATGTATGCAAGTAAAGCATGCATGAGATTGGGATGGGTCCTGCCCCTACAAAAAGACAACTTCATAGTTCACATGATTTGCGTGTGTCGGTCTCCAATGTAGAAAGAATATATGAGATGAAAATTCACCCCGCATATTATCTTATATACACTGACCGCTTCTGTTTTTATCAGTCAGGAATATAGGTGCCGCTCTTTGTGTATTCCTGGGGATTCAATTTTCACTTTTCATGTTAAAATATTGTGGTTATTGCTGTTATTGCTTGTAAGTTACTAAGTTGGATTGTAATTTGCAACCAAATACTACTACTACTACGAATAATAAAGAATGTCTGATAATATTGTGAACATATGATGTTGTTATTATTAGTTAGCTATCAATTAAATACTAAATACGAATGACATCACAATTTAGCATCTGTATAATGTGACAGATTAGGTGTGCTGACAATTATTAAGAACCAGATTTGTTAACCGACTAAAAAATATGTCTCTGTCTCTTTAAATCCTCTGCTGTGGTAGATTAAGTTGCCAGCTAACGAACTTAGCCATGCTATGCTAGTATTTAAATATGTATACCGTATCATCAATTAGTTATGTTATATATTGACGTTGCATATCAATAAAAAATAATATGTTTGCAGCTTGCTTTTTAATTGGAGTACAAAATTCATGATGAAACAAAATATTTATATTTGACACTGCCGAAAGAGATCAGTATAATAAATTAAAACTACCTCACATTGATCCAAGAAGTTGGTTTTTTAAAAGGATTTAAGTGATCAAAACAAAAAAATAATTCCACCAATAGAATAAAGAGCTTATTGTTGTGAACAAAAGACTATGCAATTTGTTGGCCAATCCCATGGCAACTTTTATGACTTGTGGAGATAGTCCGTGGTCCTGAGAATACCAAAAGCGTCTACTTTAACCCAGCCAAGTCAGAGTTTTGATACCAACGAAGACCTAACAAAAGTAAATGGATCTTAATTTCTTTTCTCCATATGTAGATTGGTACGTAATGGAGTAGGACAAAGCTTTGATATATGAACAGTTTTGTGGGGTGATGAGTGGGTTCGGTGCTTAATTAGTGGTGTCTCACCAAGCCCGCGTGATAATGGAGGAGATTACTCCAATTACATTTTCATCACTGTTTCTGAAAAGATAACAATAATTGTGTGCGACTAAATTAGCATATGCTAACCTACAATTATGCCCGTAACAATGTAGCCTTTACATGTTTAGCAAAGGTTGCTCGATAGGTGCTGGCCAAGTTCTTTCAAAGAAAAGAGGCGGGGATAGTTTTAACTTCTAAATAATTGAGCTATAAGCATAGACTCCTGTCAATTGCATATAGTTTAAATCAGAACAATTAGCTAAATGTTATATAAGCTTTTTAATTACAAAACTATGGAAATTGCATGTTTATGCATTTTGTGCAACTAGTTAACTCGTTAAGTCGTTATGGTATATGCACAAATGGAGACTTGCAAGCTAAGAGTTGTGCTTAGACTTCTCATCGCAACTCGCTTTAATATAAATCATTTTTTTTAACATGTATAATATATTGTGTATAATAGTAATTTATTTACTATATTTTTTAATTAAATATTAGAATATTTAATAATATTTCTGTGTTGAATTGCATTAAA